TCTCTCTCTCTCTCTCTCTCACACACACACACACACACACACACACACACACACACACACACACAGTCTCTGTGTCGCGTCTCTCTACGCACACATAGACACGTACAAATACACATACATAGAGAATGGAAGAGAAGAACGAAAACGATAGAGAAACGGAAGAGCAAAAAAAGAAAACGGAAAGGCCGAGCATTCCCACCGTTCCGTTAATAAGTCGGCGAGAGGAAGGGTGCTTTCCTGTCCTCCGTTTGTCTCTGCTGCTGCTGCTACTGCTGCTGCTGTTGCTGCTGCTGAACTATGCGTCTTCTTACCCAGAGTCCTCTGAACGGACTCGTCGTGACGTGCACCCACTGATCCTTGGGCAGCACTGCCATCTTCAAATACCCTGCAGTGTTAAATGCCGCACACGTCGGTTCTCTCTCATTTATATACCTTAACAGACTCGACGAGTCATCCGCCCACTTGGACAAACACTTGAAGTCGTTCCCCGGACTGTCTACATACGGAAAGAACTCCCATCCCAATCTCTCGAGTACACTTCTCTTCACATAAAGCCCCTCCCTTTCGTTATCAGTCCACTTATACCACTTATCTCTAGGCAGGAGAGTGTGTTTCATCCACCCATTGGTATTATACGCCACGCATTTTTCGCGCAAAGAGACAGCAACTGCGCGCCGTTCAGCGGGAGTGCCAGCGACGCGGGAAATATCGTTCCCATCACTGTCGAAGAAAGGGACAAACACCCATTCCAAGGAGTCTAACGCAGTCTTCTTGACCCACATACCCTCAGATGCGCTATCGCTAAATTTGTACCATTCGATCTTAGGACGGATGGAGTGTTTAATCCAGCCGTTGGTGTTGAAGGCCACGCACTCAGGGATATCACAATTAACGTAGTGCATGAGTTGAGAGGGATTGCCAGCCAAATCTTCGACACAGCGGATATCGTTGCCTGGGCTATCGAAGCCCTTAACGAACTCCCACTCCAGGGCCTCGAGAGCGTCGGAACGAACCCATAAGCCCTGTTTGGAATCAGCGTAGACACGGCGCCATTTCTCGCGAGGGACAAGAGCGCTCTTCATCCAGCCGTCGGTGTTGAAGGCAACACATTTCTCCTGACGACGACCCTGAGTGGACGCCAGATTGGCAAGCGCTTCAGGATTTCCCTTGAGAACCACCACTTGCTGAATGTCGTTGCCTGGCGAGTCAAAATGACGTATAAAAACCCAACCTGGTATCGTAACCATCTCTCTCTCTCTCTCTCTCTCTCTCTCGCTCGCTCGCTTGCTCTCTCTCTCTCTCTCTCTCTCTCTCTCTCTCTCTCTCTCTCTCTCTCTCTCTCTC